AGGTATGCCTTTGTTGAAGGTCATCGTGTGTCACCTTGCAGGTGCCGTCGGTGCTTAGTTGGGGGCAGATCAAAAATCGAGGGTTTAAAAACCTTTGGAGTAAAACGATGTAATCCAAGTAGCACGGCTTAACAGTCTTTGAATTGACGTACTAATTTAAGCCTTCCATCAGTGGTCAAGCTACCCCCTGTCCAGCATCCTCTTTGCGTTTGGCTCCCAAATGCCCATCTGAGTGACACAAAAAGGCTTAAACATTGTACCCTAACGAAGGCATCTGGGCATTTCCATTTTCATTGTAACAAAGTGGTCGTCAGGGTAATCGTTTATTTTGTAGGAGAAAAACACTCGAAGATTGCATTGTAAAGCAAACGAACCTGCATAGCATGTCACTTTGTGCATCAAAGTAATGGCTAGTTGTTCCATAAAGCTTCTATTTTTCCCTTCAACCGAATGCCATCAGCATTTCTTTTATGGTCTGCATTGCAAAAGCTTCTGGAGAAAATGGCCTGGAAAAGAAAAAGAATCGAGTGGAAAGGGAAGAGGAGGGAAGGGGAGGAGAAGAGGAAGGAAGTAAAAGGAAACGCCATCTTACACTTTGGCCGACGTTAAATTTTATGCAAGCCTTTCAATTTTACCTATTACCCGTTAGGTTTTAAACAAAGTAAATTGATGTTTGCCCATAATCTTGTAAAGCTACAAAATATGCTCGTAGTCTTGTTTTCAGCTCTCTGAAGAAATAGAAAAATGGAAAAGTAAGGGCACATTCGCTCATGCATCAGTGGAGTACTTTTAATGCCGCTTCCATCTGCAAAACTTGAAGGTCACGAACCCAATGCCGCTCAAAGTGGGACTTCGACGTGGAGAGCCGGTTATGCACTCACTGACATCTCCTCACTCCCAAGTTGTCATTCGTCAATCAGGATTATCAAACGTCCTTCGCAATTTTGCCTATCATTTTGCCCAATTCTCCTTCCATCTATAAAAGGTTGTTTCTAATGCGTAATGCGACCACCTTCATAACCAGGCGTTTTTATATGGTTCCAGTTAAAAAATAAATGAATTTGAAAGAGATTAAAACGGGATTTATTGCCCCTCACCTAATGTGGACCCCATTGTTCGGTTTCTCTGCCTTACGTCCGTCTCCATCCACTTCTCCTCTCGACTACCAACACCTTTCCAACAACCAAATATGGTAGAATACGCCGCGAGACTTTCCTAAACCTTGGATTCGGTGTTCGGATTACTTCACTGCTTACCACCGATCTAGCAGTGTGCTCCAGTGGGAAGAAAAGTGGTGTCGGTAGCATTTCCGATTGCAGGCCACTTGTAAGAATAAATTGAAACTCGCAGATTGCACTCAGGTAGCTTCAAGTCGTCTTTGACGATTGGAGGATCTCATCTCTAATCATTTCGTCAACGTCATGCAAGGTGAGGAAAGACACTTTTCACACATTTAAAAAGCATTTAAGTTAACTCTGAACATATAGTGCATTTTACCGTATTTTATCATGTTGGCTCACATCGACGTTCCTTCTTTCACCATCTCTTCTATCATTGGTAAAGTTTACCTCTGATGTGAGCCTGCCATAGTTCACCGAAAATTGTGTTGCTTCGTCTAAGTTTGCCTGAGGCTTGGATGAATGTTTGCAAGCTGCATTATGCGCATCATACATGGAGGCCTGACATGAGGATGTTGAGGTGAGTCGACTGTTGCTGCTTATTCTAATGTAGTACTGTCGGTAGCTTTTTATGCTTTTTCATTAAAATTTACCAGGTCGGTACCTTAAACGCTTTAACCAGAATGACTGTCTGAATTCGGCGTCCGTGCATAGCGTTTTCACTTTCACCCGCTTCCGATGGCTCCCCCAACTGGTTGTTGGTGGTGCTCTGCGTACCTTACGATACCTCAGCCAGTACTATGGTACTGTCTGGAGAGCTCCGTGATGAGCGAAACAGCAACAACACTCCTCGCGCTAGGTGTTTAAGTCAAATCACTCCATTTGGCAGCAAATATTAGGTTTTGAGGGATGCGATGTGCCCCCTGATGTTCTGGTTCGAGTCACGAGTCAAATCTGATGGTTTTCACCCACTGCACAATTTACTGCCGTTCTTGATGTGGAGGTGGTCAGTCGACATTGTTAATGCTCCAATACCTTCGGCGTCCGTCTCCAACTTCCTCTCAATTAGAAAAGTACACAACCACAAGATCTGTTTTTTTTTCGCCCAGCGCCTTTAATTTAAATAACGTATTCTGACCAAAAAGTGTTCCAAATCACCAACTTTGCTTGATTTAATCATGGAAAAATATGAACAAATTTTTTGTTGTAATGAATTCCTCAAATAACCTTAAATGAGTGCACTATGGGCAAGACAACTAATGCATGGACGATGCGAAAAGTTATTTTATCCCAGCACCAATCTCTCCCCACCAGCAGCTGCTCGGATGGCCTGCACACATTTGAAGCGTCCTGGTGTGCCCAGTCAAACATCCAAAATCTCTGCATGCACATGCAATGGCAAATCAAGCAACAATACGAGCACAGATTGGGTGATCATGAACACAAATTCGTGAGTTTTTTGCCGAATGACAAGTGTAGAAATGCTGTGCAGGAGTTCGGTTGATGAGGCGGAGATCAACAAGAAGGCGAGTTGACTCAATGAAATGATTAGGTCCGTTGCTCCTGACAGTGACCTGCGTGCAAGGAGACAAAACTTCTGTTACACGTGATACCGCATCAAAGGAAAGGTGTTAGCAGACCACACAACCCATCATCACGGTGGAATTTTAATTCGCTCCATTGCACTAGATTAACACCACCTCATTAGAAGACTCTTTTTTCATCGCAGTAGCGAAAAATTGCAAAACAGTGCCCATCACTAAAGAATGCTAGAAAATTTTCCTACTACTCCTTCAAAGCTTTTCCTTTAACTCAAACAAATCCACTACTTTTGGCACAGAACTTCTGTCAAGTACTGAAAAATCGCAATTGTATGAATGCTTATTTGTCGCCTACCTGTTTGGAGTGCCTTCGTTTATTGCGCATCCTCAATATCAAGGCACAAAGACAGTTGCTCGATAGCAATTCTACCCTTTTACTGATTCAACGGAGATGGAGCCAATTCGTCCTTATTCTCTCATCTACATCGTAATTACTGAGTCATTCTCAAACTAATGCCTGTGTTTGCTTGATGGTTTGCCCAGTTTTTGTGCTCGAGTTGCGTAGCAAAGACCTTTGTTGGAACTGATCAAATTGCCATTGTCTCGGTGGTAGAATAATTTGGTAAGGCCAATTTCTTGGACCGAGATAATAGTGAATTGAAAACCATGGGCATCGGTTGCGTTTGCATGCGCACCCACGTAGGTTTCAATATATTTACCAGTGCGTCGAATAATATTCCAAGACAACCATGCCACCATGCCTTAGTGCGGGGCAGATAATCTATAATGGTGACAAGCCATCGAAACAGGATTAGAAGATGCACTTGTCGCCATACTTTCACTTCAATTCAATTTATGCAGATTTGCTTAGTGCGCCGCCGCGTTTCCATGCTGAGTAGTGGAAAAGCCCGCTTATGCTTCGACGCCATGTTTCCTCCCCCCATCACAATACATAGCACTATATTGAGCGAAAACCCCTGGTTTCAAGGCCTTGTCCTAATTAGAACTTATCACCACCAACTAGAAAACGACGTTTCCACTTTTCTTGGAGTATATGAGAAGTTTTGGAGCTTCTTTTACGACTCATTCTCTCAGTTGCACTGTCTTATAGGTGTCCCCTCCACTTGTGCTCATACTTCAACGGCAGCAAGGCCAAAATTCTGGTGGTCAAGAGCGTGCTAGTTGTGGCCCAATAGGCAGCGAAGTCGCAACAGATTGGAGGTCATTGGAGTGCCACATATGGGGAACCAAATAGCACTTCGGTATCAAAACAATTTCCGAGAAGCTACTTGGCATGCCATTCGTGAACGATGTGTGAGTCTTTTACTTTAAAATTGGGGCCATTGAAGTTCGCTATTCATGCGTGCATACTGCACTTTTTGACACTCCATGAGTTGACTGAGTAAAAGTGTCAACAGCAAATCCTCCACAATTTCTCCTTGGTAAGTGCAATTTAGAGATAGTCACATAGTGGTTTTGGCCAAACAATCTATTAAGTGAAACACTTGTCTTGGTGGAAAGTCTTTTTCGTTCTCTCCAACGTTGACCATGTTGAAGCTCTATAACCCCATAAATACTTCCATTTTGACTATACAAGTAACTTAAGTCTACTGAAGTGACCTCGAACATAAAAATCAAGGCGCGAGTTGAAATCCATCCCAAAATCAAACTCAAACACATATTCAAACTATATTTTGAGGCAGTTTTGTTTGTTCTCAAACGTACGTAAAACCTAACTCCGTAAAACAGTTTTCTGATCATTTTTTTCGTCTATTTAGCAAATTTTTCCAAAGTGCTCTATTGCAGTTATTGCACCATTTATGATGGCGAACTCGTCTGCAGTTAATAATGGAATTCCTTAGCAACATTGCTAAAAACGAGACTTAATGTAGAATGACCAAAAGCTATTGTTCCACAATTTCATATTCTGCCGACATTATTAAGCTGATGGGAACTAAATTCACCAGTTTTATCGCTTGTAAATCTAAGACCAGAAGAGTATTTCAGCAATTGCTACAAATTTTCATCCACACACTTCATCCAAAGCTATCACGCCGCTGCAGATGTGTAGACGCTTTCGATAAACTGCATTTTTGTCAGAATTTGCGTCCCACTACAATTTACACACCTTCTCCGCCTCAGCTCACTTGGCCAAATAAAAAGAGAATAACACTACTATCCACCAATCACAACAGATCTGGCACCTAATTGGTCACTATACGATGTACTTTCCTCTTATTCGCTCTGTGCAGCTCGCGGTCGTTAATGGCGCTACTATATAATTATCTTTTCGTGGCGCCGTCACCATTGTTGACATCTCCGTGTGCGTTTTGTTGCGAGCATGTCTGCTTCGGCACCGAAGGCAAAGAAAGCGAAAGCTTTGACATCCCATCCGCCAGTCCTCGAGATGGTTAAAGATGCCCTCGCTTCCAGCAAGGATCGTAAGGGTACCTCTCTTGCGACTATCAAAAAGTACGTCGCCTCCCATTACAAAGTTGACATGAAACGGATTGCCCCTCATCTTCGTCGTGCAATTGTCCACGGGGTCGAAAACGGGGCTCTTGTTCGTGTTGCCAATAAGGGTACCGGAGCTTCAGGCAGTTTCAAGTTAGCAAACAAGGTTGTCGAAGGAAAGAGTTCGAAGTCACCAAAAGTCCAGAAAAGGAAGTCAACGAAAGTTTTGCTGAAGACTGCACCCACCGATGTAGCTCAAAAGAAAGTAGTCGCGCCTAAAGCTAAGGCTTCAGGCTCGAAATTGGGGAAAGCGGGGAAGGCTATTGTTGGGGTTAAAGTGAAGAAGGCGATGCCAGAATTGGCTGGAAAAGCTGCGAAGTCGAAGAAGCCTAAAAAGGCGGAAGGTTCGAAGCTTAAGGCCTCTGTCAAGAAGTCGAAAGGCGTGGCACCAAAGCCAAAAAAACAGGTCATCAAGAGGCCTGTAAGGTCTTAAGGCTTTGCACATAGTGCGCGGGTATGGAGAACGTCACACGGCCCTGCTTAGGGCCAAAACTTATGATTGTTCAACCCCTAGTTTGGTGTGGATTCTTAATGGTTTTGGGCGGATTGCAGTAGGTTGAGTCTTCTACCCCTTGTAGGTGTCTGAGTTCTCATGTGATCAGTTCGTGCGAGTGTTGCTCTCTACCAGCAACGTTATGACGGGAAAGTTCTTCTAATCAAGTCGAAGGTGCGGTGCGTGTCTGGTAACAGGCGTAAGCAGAAATGGTGCTTTACTTTTCAATTTGCTTTTAAGGTGTAGTTTCAAGCAGGAAACACTAGTTAAACGCTATACTTGATGTGTAAAGCTATCATTTGCTGTTTGAAGTCACCAGGCTTCGCAGATTCGCGTGGTTACATGCTGTGCCAGCTAAGGCAGAATAGAGCTTGATCTCGAGGTTGCCTATTTGGTCACTTGGGCGCAACATCGACTTGAAATGGTGCGGTCGCCGGGTCGGGAAGGCTGGTGGATTCAGTATCATAGAGACGCGAGCTGGACGGGCAGTCGTAAATACCTTAGTCATAAATCCCCTCCTCCTCCCTACATTTAAAACACCCCTGATGACTCACGCCTGTTTTCCCTGCATTTGCAACGTGTTTGTACAGCTTTACAAGAGACACTAGACTTGCAGCTCTGCTGTTCCAGGCAGATCGTTTAGTGAGTTGAAGATAGATTCGCTTGAATAGCTATAATGAGTTTTGCATTTGTACCTTCCTCGCCAAGAGATGATGTCTGTTTCATCATTTCAGGAGGATTCACTGAGTGCTTCTCGTCCAAGAGGCGTGGTCAGGATAAAGCATACGTGATTCTTCTTGCCTCACTGATTACAAGTCGTCCCTAGTCGAGTTCATCCATTACGATTTGAATTGCTCTCTGTATTGAATTCAGGTAGTGGTTATTCCTTCAAGTCCTACATACACGTTAAATTTGTCCTCATTCCCTTATCTTCATTTGCCTTCGTGGCATAGTAATATAGGCACTCTCAACACCTGTTAAAATTGATGTTGGTGCTGTGAAACCATCCCTGTCCAAGAGGAACGGACCGGAGACAACTTTCCATCACTGAATACCTCAGTATACCAGAATTGCGATGTCCGGGGCGCCATCCAGAAGCGCTTTCCATTAGGCTCATAGCGGTGGTCATTGGCAAATGAACGTTTGCTGGGGACGTACATTAATTGGAAATAAACTGAACTTTCAAAGATTCCACTCCCTCCACCGTTTCTCAAAAATCGTAAAGCTCCCATCAAACGATAACACCATCCCAGACGGGCCCACCTTGGAGGTAATTTACTAGAAAAGTTTGGTGTGCTACCATACTGGGTGAGCTGTCCTGCTTTACCCCAGATCAAATAGAAATAGCAGGCCCAACAGATTCTATGGCTAAAACAAGTGCTTTGAGGCATTGCAATTCAGTTCTTACTTCCGCAAGGAGCGCACTCCCTTAATTAATATAGTTGGTCTATGAGGTCACCATTATTTAGTGAAATGCTCAATGTAGGTGAGGCTTGCTACCGCACCACCTGTTACCCTGGTTGTGTGTACATCATAGCCCTCCACAACCCCTCATTGGTCCATTGGTCTCATGCGGGTCTTCCGCCCTTCATCAAATGGCCAACTAGGCCAATTGACCGCCACGATCAAAGTATGGACTGATCGACAATAAGTAATTATAAAAAAGAGGAGATTTAAGGTCTTGCATCGCATTCTCGAATTAAGAATTAAAAGTTTCACCTATTTACAATGCCAGAGTTAAGAAACAGGGTCGAATAGTCGTTTTATCATCATCGGAATCTTATTGCTAATGTATGACTGGTCAGCGTTTTGGTGCAAGCCAATTGTAAGGAGGCAAGCAATTGTAAGGAGCAAGCTGGTGAGATCAGGATTCACTCAAGCACTTAATGCTGCAAAAAAGCCGCCGTATTTATCCTCAAGATTATGTACTGAAGGGACATGTTTACGGGGTACAACTACATCTCCGAGTGTAAAAATCATTACATTACACCAACTTTCAGCAAATAAAAATGTATTTCAGGGTATTCAAAGTAAAGCCACAAAAGTCCTAGGCCTGGGTACTTTAAACTTTGGAATAGCCTATGCTGCCGAAGACTCAATTAACTTCACTCCCGAACAGCAAACAGCTTTAACAGAAAGTAAGTCACATGATAGTCAACTGTGCACCTGCGATAAGGCCTGTTTCTCGCCTTTTGTTCTGTAATCTTTTACTAACCAACAAACGACTCGTGGTGGAGTTAAAAAGACAGAACCCCTTCAACATCAGCTCTAAATCGCATGGCGCGCACCAAGCCGTTAATGACTGTACCACTTAGCCAGGGAATACGTCACTGTCCGATTAGTGCTCTCATTGGCTAATCGATCAGTTCAACGAATCATCTGACGCTCTTATCAAGTGCTAAACCAATGGGAAAGGAGTCACTTGCCATACGGCGCCCCTAACGCTCCCAAACTCTCAGTCGTGACGTCTGGTGGCCCTAATTTAAGGGCTGTGGAGAATGCTGGCGTTGAGAGGGTGTGTGGAAAGGTGATTGCATAATTTGTGGGAAGTACTATTGCCAATCAAGGCAACTGAGATGTAATGAGATGTTGTCATTTATTGACAAGCGCTATGACACTGCTGCTAAATCGAGATCCAGAGCCATCAGTATTCACGCACGCTTCGACCAAAATAGTCTCCTCTTGTAATTGAGCCCCTGAAGGAAAGTGAACAATGGCCTCGCGAGGTCAGGACGATTTATTTTGGCTTATGGGGGAAGGCTGACGGTGTGTAGTGTACTACGCATTGAGACAAGCTGACTGTCTCTTCTTTATTCAATTAAGCATCGCTTTGCAGTCCTTTAAACTAATCTAGCAAGATACAGAGACACAAAAAGGTTCTGTGCTTTTAAATTATGTAAGGATTCAATTGATCATATTTGGGATCCGATATAGGTGTGACACTATAGGATTTTAAATTGTCGCGAACTCACTTGATGAGTTTTAGGTGTCCACAAGAAGACAGATATTAGTGCCCTTTAATTCCTAGGCTGATTACCAGCGATGTCACTCGAGATGGAAATCCTCCAGAAGGTTGTTCCGTCACGAATTAATTCTGTGAAACTCATTAAAAACCACAGTTTTAATTGATCTGCGACAAAACATGTCCAAAATTGCCCAGCCATTGCCTTTTATCTTTATTCAACTTAATAGGAGAGGTTTTTGCTTTATTGTGGAGTGTTAAAGGGAACTTGAACATCACAAGTCCACAATAAACGGGAATCTTGATAAAGGGCTTTCCTTTTACAGTGATTACAACTTTACCTACTCAGTCGACGCTTGCGAAAAACACTCGCCCATCGTTTGCTTTCCATTTTGCATGCGTCATGCCCCGACTAATGCTCGCATTGGTTGGGTCGTCCCGGATCGGCTGCACACCACTGTTTCAATGGTGGGACCTCAGCACTTTCTAGTGTTAGCAGACCGTAAGAACTATGGCAGTAGGAAACTGCGTCCTCAAATGTGTAAGATGAATAAATTGTTTCAGACTGAAGACGAAATCTTCCGGCGTATGTACCACCAGAGTGCCGTAAGGTAGGCCCACTGTAGATTTGAAGACAAACGGAAAGCTGGCAGATCGAACTGAAGAGGTTAATTTGGGAGACAAGAAGCGAGGCGAGTGCGTATAATCGAATGTCTGAATGCATATGTCAGCTTTAAAACGTGCAAAAAGATTCTAAAGTCGCTGCCACCTTCTGCATGGCAGACATTCTTCCACATACCTATACTCAGCTTTGTCAGTGTTTACCCAACCGAAGTGATTTTTAGCCCAAATAATTTTGAGACAAATGAGGAACGGATGGATGAGGGACCCGCTGCGACTGTATCCCCAATGAATAATTTTAGCCAGACAGGAACTGAACGCTTCGATGCTGTACTTCCACTGAATGGCATCCTCTGAGCCATCCATCGATTAGTTCCCCTTAAGTTGCTTTTTTTGCTTTACCTCAACAACATAGGTCTCATTCAGCATTTGGAAAGGAAAGGGTATGTGAGTTCTAGTTTTGTTTAGCGGATAAAAAGGAGAAAGTTCACATAAGGGAAATGTCAAAAAAATTGGTTATCCCATCCATAGGCATAAAACCGACGAGACAATGGAAAGCGCCCTACATGTCAACCTTGTTTTCTTAGTCTAACACCTAGGTATCCTGGTGATATCTAAACTACTACTCTATCAGTTACCTGATTGGCGTATCCAAATCGTATGAACTTGTGGTGCGTCATAAATGTGAGTACTCTGATTGGTTAATGTGGCCTCCATCAGCTTCATCACTATGTGCGTCATAACGTGATTATCCAATCAGATTTTGCCACACTGAAAAGTGCATCTCTTTTGCTCCCATTTAAGTGTTAACAAACGCTAACCACGTGTGTTTGATCAAGCTGGGTCACCTGAGATCGAGCGGGTGATGGCATTTATTGCAGGAGACGGGAGAGAAGATAGTATGATGATGTCATTTCAGGAGCGGGTGGTGGCGATACTCGAAGAAGTCCGTAAATCTCTCACTTGTAGAGGAATTCAGGTAGTGTTACCGGAGCTGACGTTGTTCCTGGAGAACAGGAACGGAATACGGAGGTAGAGAGGAACATCATGAGGTAGTGGTTAGCAATCCTCCACGTGGATGCACTGAATGGAGTGGTATATCGATTTGAATGCTGCTCTTGCGTGAGCAACTATTTAATTGGTTCTTTTCTAAAGGTTACTTTACCACCGCAGTAGCATTCAACACATATTGTCACACGTATTTGCATTTCGTAGATGGAAACATGGTAGCAGATCATTTCCTATGATGAGGCAAATGGCATAGATGCCTAATGTTGATGTGGACCTCGAATGGAAAGAATTGCCACGATGTAAGTTAGCACCCACACGAGTGATATGCCACTTTCTTCTATTTATTTGAGGAGCATTTGGGCTGGTGTTAATGTCAAAGAGTTGGAAATCTCACATATGTCTTAAATGACTGGAATTGATCGGAGAGTTGTTTTCACTATCGCTACTAATGCGAAACTTTTGGCGGCTCAATAAGACAGTGTACTAGGAATTAAAGCCTTCAGTTCCTTGATTTAGTGCACAGCGACCCCTCATTGGCCGGTTAAGGAGTCAAATTTTGAGCAGCTCAGAGTCCACCTTGACGTCATCGAAGTAATGACAATGTAGCAGAGGACAGTGCAGACGTTCAGAAGGGCTAGGACTGGTGGCACGGTCCTGACGTCAGTCAAATCCGTAGTGTCCAGGTGTTTGTTGCGGTGATTCCCCAATGGTTCTCCAGGCCGTGTGTCCATCGCGGATCACACAACCGTAGATCGCTACGCGGTGGTGCACGGATGGGATGATAAGAGGATGTATTAGACCTTCAGCTAAATCCTCTATGTTCTCCTCATCTTTTATACCGACAGGCACCCTTGTATAACACCATCTAATCACAGCATCATGCCCAAAGCGGAGTAGCAGAATGGAAGTAATGATTATCCGTGTTGTAGTCGAACTGTTTGCTTCAAATGGCAAAACTTTGGTGTGATGGTTAAATGTAGATCGAGTTTTTTTGGGTTCGGTGGGGAAAGTGGTTTTGATGTTCATTTTCCTCGGCACAGATTTTGAACTAATTAATTTCTAAATAGTATACTAAAACAATCGTTCCATTGGTGACCATTCTCAATCTAGGAGTCGAAACTCAGGACTAAGGATATTAAGTGGCAGACTGTAGAGTCTCGATTCATAGAATGCTGAGTAGACGGAACCGCAAGAGCGTACTACGTCTATAAATTGAAATCTACACACAGATTACTTATCGTTAATTCACCGTCCAAATCAGAAATTTCCATAGCAGCAGGGAACCATAAAAACAGAACTCTTGTACCGATGCTAACTCCTAACACCTCAATTGCGTTGACCAATGATCGCAGCGATCACAATCAGAGTTATGCATTTGAAAGTGTAGGGGAGGGAAGAGATAGCATCTTCCCCTGGGTTTTGTAAGAGTCATGAAACACGTACCCAACACGCAGACAACCTCTTGAAAATTGACACTGGCGGGTTGCTTTCAAAATTAAAGGAACGAGAGTTAAAAGGGAGTCCCTTGGTGGATGAATAATCAACGTTCATTTGTAAAAGGCACCCTCAACCGTTTGCAAAGGGCTATTGCTGTACCACGATGTGTCAACAGTTTCAAACTTGCCAAAATCTATTTCATTTTAAAAATGCGCCCAGGAGATAAATGCACTTACCTTGCAAAGGCTTCGCCTGATTGAGTGCTAGATTCAATTCAATACTTTGTGACATTTGACACAGAACGACTGCATTATTTCCTCCTATGCATGAAACATGCCTCTTTTGAAACACAAAACGCGGAAAGGAAGCACATTCCTTGATGGATCACTAAGCTTTTCTGGAGTGACTGCGAAAAAAACTATTTATGCAGTTGCCGTCCTTTGGTCGCAAACTAAAGCATAGCGACCGAAGGCGATTTTTGACAGGACTTAGCTTACCACCTTTACCTACGTGGCAGTCGTATAAAGTTAAATTATAAAGTCGCCACCTCATTTGGGTGTGTTGACTTATTATAGAGCGCATGAAACTTGAAAGTCTTTATGAGGCGATAAAATTGTTTGGGCTGACTCTGAGGTGGTCTGCAATTCGGCCGGTGGCAAAACTAATACTGATAAGTGGTCTCAAGAAAATCAGCAATTGTGATTCCGCTATGGCCAAACGGCTTTTACGTATTAACCTTGTGGATGCGATACATGCACTACCTCAATTTGTTTGGCGGCCATCAACATCGAGAGTCGTCTGCATATTTTCCGAAATCAACACCTCGACCATCAATACAAATCGCATCCAACTGCCCGACCCAAAGCTCAAATGTGTGCGTTTCTCAAAACTCAAAGTAGCGAAATCGCATGAATAGACAAACATGGTTCCACCATGAAAATCTAAGAGTTTTGCAGAACGTCACTTTTCAGCTTTACTTTTTCATGGTGACAATCCCATCTTGCAGTGAAGGGGCTAGTTGAAGGTTCACCCTCGTAAATCAGTACAAAAGTAACACGAGTGCTACTGCTCACACTAATCCACTTACTTACGCACCGAAACGACACAATTGTGCCCGTTCCGCACATGCATCGACAAACTGCCAAGTGTATGCCATTTTTAAATAAATAAGCTGCTCACAAATCAACATGATGCTTCACTTGGAAAGAGTGAGCAATCCGATTTGCTAGATATACTAGGATGATTGAGGGTATACCATGAGAAGCCGGAGCAAGTTGCAATTGCTAAAACTTGATTAAGTAGAATCCCTTTCGTCATGCCCGAAGCTGATTGGCTAACCACGAGATGAGGTGCACTGAGAATGAACGTACACTAACCAATTGCCATACGCTTCGATGTCGCATCTCAGGTTCACACATGTGCAATGTGTAAGTAATTAGCTGAATAGTTGAGACAAGTTGTTTCGAAATAGGCGGGACTTCTCGCAATCAAATTAAATGAACAAGTAGAGTACTAAGGCTTAAGCTTTCTAAAGAACATATTTTATGGTTAATCTTTGTCTGTTATGATTATTGACATCGGCAAACATTCAAGGACAAAAAATCGTTTTTAGAATCTTTTAGCAAAAAACGAATTCAGATTGGCTTTCAAATGCAAGTAATTTTCCTACCGCTGATCTCATTTATTATTCAGAATTGATTTAAAATCCATTGGGTGTTTTGAATCGAAGATTAAACCTGTTTCTTTCTGCGCAACATTGTTCATTATCAGTGGATTCATCCGTGCGTTGGTTACTTAATATGTTATAGTTTTGATTTGAAAAATCTATTTTAGACAAGGAATTTGTGTTGTGATATGCACTCTACATGCCGACAGATCGTACGGATACTTTATCTGCAAAGAGGCGTTAATCCTGAGTTTCTGAATAAATAAAATTCTTCTCAAGTAATCGAAATGCTGCCCTTGTTTGTCTGGGGCCATAACATGGCTTCTCAATCACTACTGTCAGATCTGCTAACTGCTTCATCAAGAGACCTATTATTTATATTCGAGTGCACGAAAGAAAGCGTTATGTTAGTGAAGTGGAAGGCAGTGCCTATTAAAGTCCGGAGGTTGAGTCCGTTGGCTCCTCGAGCACAACATGAAAGTTTCATTTCTACCCCACATTTACGGGACACATTTTAGACAACTCGTGTATTACACAAACTGAAAAAGGCTATTGGGATAATTTTGAGGCTAATAAGAATAACTACTCGACAAATGAACTCATTATCAGCACTTGCGCCTCATCTTTCGATAATGTTAAATTATAAGATCTGGGGGTTTGACGTACAACTTGTCTCGTTTACAAATCCTGCGCATTCGAAATTAGGTTTTAATGTTTCTTTGCTTTAGCTAAAGGACGTCGTTAAAAACAATATGTAGAAATTCTCGTCTCTTCTTCCAACTCTAGACTTCTACGAAGGCGACAATGGGCGGTAAAATATTTCTTCTACCTGGGCATTATGAAAGAATTTGGAGATGGTCAGAGTTACTGTAACTGAAGTTTTTCTCTCCTCGGGGATCGGTGACATCTACTTATTTACGGTAGTAATGCAGACTGGCAGCTTGTAGCCAAGATATTTCAAGATGTTTTCTAAGTAACTAATCGGATCATTCATGAAATCACTCATTAACAATGGTAGTGCATCACATAGCTTGCGAATGCAAGCTAAGAGAGGAACAAAATCATCGTCTCCTACATTCGAATATGGGAATAATAAAGCTCAACTATCCAGATCATTTAGAAGCCATAAGGTTTCAATTCTGCCGTCCACACGTGCGCAACCATCCATTATCGATCCAATGAGACGCAAGGACACGATGGACCAATGGGAACATGGCTGGTGTGAGCAGAAAAAGGGATGTCCAATGGACAGGCGGTTGGTTGCCTACTTGCTTGTTTGGTCTCTTACTCGCTAACTGGGGCGAAACAGAAGGGGAAGAAGGCGAGGCCACCAAGAGACAGAGGTAGTGGGAATACACATTCAAAGCCAGCACTCAGCCATAAATTATGAATATTTCGGAGGTTTTAAAGAAGATTCCGACGCCACAAATAAATCTTCCCAGTGTTCAACTGCCGACATTTGGGAAGGAAGCCAATGTTGGAAAAGCACCGTTGAACATGACCAGGGTGAGCTTTCGGAATACATTTTGAACGAAGTCGTACATTCACTGGCATGGTTGCCAATTTTATCTGCAGGATTTGGTATTAGATCAACAGAAAGGCAATCATGTGAACCCAGTAGTTTAAGTTGCAAAGTTCAAATTAAAGTTCAAATTAAAATTAATAGAGAATGACTTTGAGAGGCACTTTTTGCTAATATAATTGGGAGCAAGTGCGGTGGCGCCAGCATAAACTGTGCTTAATTAGGTGTTCTTCTGGTAAAGCGCGGGTAGTAGTAGGGATTAGTTGTGTAAGCGGGTGTGAGTCATGAGGAAGTTATGATTTTGCAGGCCAGTCACTTTTTCCCTTGGAGTTAGCGCTTCTTTTCAGGCGTAAATACGACTGCCTTAGCACCAGAGAATGAGGGACCATTTGATTAAGTAGTAGTGAATTTTCCATGGTCACATTATTTCACAGTTTTCTATTTTTTAAATTAAGCTACCTTGAATCGATCCCTATTGGAAGTGGTGGGGACTGGGAGTCGAAAGAGGAAAGTGAAGAGAATTAGATCTGCTAGTTTTGCATTTTGAATGTTAAAATTAGCAATGGTATGGAGGTGGTGGCAATAGTGATGCTGGAACTTCATGAAAATGTGGGCACGACAGCTAATTTTGAAGGAACTAGAACCTTGTGAGTGATTAGGAAAAGTGGATGTTTAAGGTTTTGGAGAAGGGAATCCACGATGAAGGCTGGTTGTCGTGATCGTAGCCTCGAAGTCCACAGGCGGTTATTAACATGGCTTACAGTAGCCTCCTCAGATAACCACCTTGTTAGTTTTCTATGCTGTGGAGACAGTTGTTTGGGTATCTTTTTTTCAGGAGGACATGGAACAACTAATAACGACAATTCAGCACACAACTCTGGCTACAGAGGATGGGGCCTTCGTTGCGTTGTGGATTTTAACTCTGTAAGGTGAACATTTTTTTACGAAAATTGCATAAAGCTTTTCCTGGAAAAACACATTTTATAACTCGCAATCTGTTAATGAGTAACGATATTGAAAATAGTTTGACGTTTACCAAGTTCTCAAAAAGTAGCACATGAGTAACAAAGTACTCATGACAGATTGAAGCGCAATAAATTTCATTGGAAGGATAGAACAGAACAGGCTGGAAAACAGTATTTACTTCCGCTTCCGTAAGCCTACCACCTTCAGAGGAGTCGGTTTCTTCTCCCTCCTTAATTTTAGGCAAAAAGCAACAAAATACAAAGCGCAAATGTGTTTGCAGAGACATTTTATACAATGTGTGGAAATTAAAAGAAGTCGAAATTCGGCATCCTTTTCCACTCACTCTCTCTCAATGTAAATCTTTAGCAAACAGTTTTTGAGCTCCTGTGACCCAAGAGGGCCAAGATCAAATTGCTGATGAGAGACTCGAGCACACAGCCAGTCTGGGCGAAGGTGTTGTAAACTACGCCTTTGCAGGAGGTTGTATCAAGGCGCTTTTGGATGCTCGAATGAATGCATTTTCCGTTTCAAGTTGGTTGCAATATGATCGCAATCAAGGTAGACGGGCGGTGAAGACATCAGGAAAGGGCCGCTAATGAGAATCCAGACAGTCTAGAAGCTAGTGTTCAATTAAACGAACACACGGACAAGTTGGAGGTGGCGTGAATTATGTAGCTTGGCAGCACAGGTAAAGCTCACAAAGAAACAAAAAGACATTTAAAATTGTGGCATACTGGAGAAATTGACGATTCAATGGATTGTTGCTGCGATTTGCGTGTTGAAATCCTCCTTTGCAGTGCGGTCGTTGCAGCTTTCCTCGGTATTTCATCGGTAGTTTCGTGTAGTCAACTTACACCTCATTATCTTTTTGACTATTATATGGTCCACGCTACTTGCAGTTGTGAAATCACTTAACTAACATTCAGCAATGTCAAAAGACGAATTTGTGTCCGCACTACCTCCGTTCCGCCCTCACAGCATCGTTCCGACCCCTTCGGTAGCGGAAGGTTCGCAGGCCTAGCAAAGTGGGCCATTTAATGTCAGAAGTGAGGAAAGTGTAAAGCCCTTTTAATCCAGTAGGAGGTCGTTACTCTGTATGTATTACGTGCTTGAAGCCATCTACTCGTCTCTATGATACTCAAGCATTTCATAATTTTATTTAACAGTGGTGAACTAATGAAAAATTCTGGCGAGGATACCAGAAAGTATCAGAAAATTTATTTTTACTTCAATACATTCATTACCATGAATCATTCTACATATTTTTTTAGCAAACCTCGAAATAGGAAATTAGTTTTGACTTTGAACATCAATGCTTAATTCTTCTTGCTTTGTAACTTCTGAAAATGCCAGAATGGCAAAAGGTGTTGGGAGGTAACATTGAGAAAGGTCTGAAATTCCGTAGCACTGCTAGTAAAATCATTTGGAGTTTACTCTTCGAAGCAGCTTAGACCGGGGGTTGTTGGTTCAACCTCCCTGCTCGTCCTGTTGCTCCTCATCTGCACACCACCGCCTTCCTCTCCATCCTCCTTCAATCTGATTTGAAAGCGGAAGTCTTTGCAGCAGTCAGCGCAGTAATCAGATTTTGAGGTTCCTCACTATGTTGCCCCGTGAAGTATTTGCAGGCTGTACATTTTTGAACCCTTTAAATAGATGTAAACTTGGCGCAGCAGTCATTTGGATCCCCTTATCCACCTTATGGAGCAGAAGCTAGACAGCATGCATCACACACTGAACTCATTTGAAGAATGTTTTCTGACAGGAGAACTCAAACTAGAAGGGAGTGGCTGATAGTCCGTTGTATGGGGTAGTGTAGCACAGTGTTGCCGTGACTGCCTGGCCAACTGACGACAGCGTGTCCATCAGAACTTTGTGGTACCGCTCACAAAAAATGCAACTTTCGTCACATCACCATGATGGATTTCCTACGTGCACGAATTTTCCGACCCATCACTGGGGCAGGATTCCCATCCTCTAAAGCTCTGTTAGTAGCCAAACGACTATTGTTTAGTTTTTTTTTTTGTCGAATAAAGCCCGTGTTATTAGCGATCCTCCAGTATCACAAAATTCGTGTGTTAGACTGCGAGTGACAACCTCAAGTGTTGACTGGAGGGTATGACGTGGCGGACTCAAGCGGACTTCATTCGACAGAAAGACAAAACCAATAAAACTTGAATGACAAAATTGATAAAATAGTTCCATTGACAAATCCTTCAAATTAAGAATCGACCACTGGAACAACGAGCACGAGCGTATTGTTGTGCTGACCGAGCGCAGCTTCTACATCATTCGCTACGATTTTCTCAGCGGCCACATCCGTGAGAGCAGGCGTGTTGGTCTTGGCCAACTGGTTTCTGTCACAACGGGACCGCTAGTTTTTCCCACCAAGTCGCTTATGCCGTAAGTGAGGGTTACAATAATTTACTTAAGCGCTGCCGAAATTGCATTAGTAGCACAAATCATGCGCAAAGATATTTAAACCAGATTTCTATGGTCATTTACCATCGTGTTTTTGTTATTTAGGCACCTAAAATAATTGAAAATTTCTAGCTCAACACTGCTTAATATTAGTAAAACGCAATGTACGCAATCACTAGTGTGCAGCATGTGTGCCACAAGCACTTTGCCAGCACCAACAAAGGTAGTTTAGTCTTGAAGTGTGAAGAATGGATTAGGTATGAGTGAATTCGAACCACCTGTAGTGGGTACAAAATGAGAGACTCAGTGTTAAGAGAAAAACTCAAGCTTCCAATGCCCATTCATGTAGGACACATTAAAATGGTGTAGCAATGCACTGATATGGTCACTTTGCCACATTTTATCATTTATTGGCCATCAGACATTTGTGTACCCACCATGCAGAACTCGAACCTCGCCGGGGGTCCAGCTGGTCTGGGGTGACCTGGGCAGTGTTACAGCCGCTCAAAAGTGGAACCCTTTGTGCCGCAACATGCCATACGTGGTGTTGACCCACCACCCACTGCTGGTGAAGCAGAACAAACTACCCAGTGGGCAAGCAAACGCAAACGGAGCTGGTTACGGTCATGACACAAATGCAGGAACGCTGTACGATGTTAACAACTTCCTTCAGGCTATTCGTGATGCCTGTAGTGCGTCTAACGTGGAGGTGAGTGATTATAATGGAGGATTCTAGATCTTTTCCACGCCTAGACAGAATATTGTCAGGTTGCTCCATCTGATTTTCCATTATGCATGTAATCCATCCATTCCTTGGTCCTCGTGGTCACGAGCAATGCTAAACTAACTTGACATTTTACAGCTTCCACATTTTGCATCTCGAACCAAGCTTAGACTCTATCTGACCATACTCTTTGCAGCAAGCTCAATGCGTTGACCATTTTCTCTGCGGACTTTCTGGTATATGACTGCAGAAACGACTCTATTTCTACGGTGATTTAAATCTAAACAAACGAGCACGCAAGCACGATTCGGTGATCAAATAGTGGGAAGATGAGAACTCTGTTATATTCGTTTTCTTTTCTAATATTGCAGTTCAAAATGGGTGATATTACCATTGAAAGCTACGGAAACATTGGTAGTGTGGTATTCAATCAGACCAGCCTGGGCTTCACACGGTCGAAGGTGTCGGTGGCTGAATAAGTAAATTTTGCCTCTCCTCCCTCCCCTCACCAACTTCACTACTTTTCCAACTGTGTAGCATTGCTTTAGTCCAACTTTCTGACCATTTATAACTGAATATTCCTCATTATTCATCATATGAATCAAGTCATTGCAAATAGACGTTTGCATGCAAGTGTTGTGACCGAAGCAAGATTACCATCCGCTATATGATCTAGCCATCACTAACCTAAAAGTTTCGTCTTTGTCATTCAAGTACACACCGTCTTCTGTGGCGTTGTTGACCCTTTGGTTGTGAATGTCATTCTCATCCTCGGACCTAAATAAGGACGAACCTATTTCTTATTGACCACTTGTTAAAACAGAAGGTAGAGGCGCGTCTGCAGGTTGTATGGAGTAACCTGATTGGCTTAATCCGAGGGACTAGCAAAGTGTCCTTTGACTCTTTACTAGAATTGCGAGGGTGACATCGAAAATTACGCGATTCGCTTCGTTAAAGCTAACTTATAATTAAGTAGCAACCTGTCAATCACTTTTGATTGTCTAGTTTATGACCAATCATAGGTAAGGTAGCTATAAGTGATTAAAACCCTACTGGAGGGAAGGATACTACAAAGTGCAGGCGATTTTCCTATCTAATAACGCAAGCTAAACGGATCCTTGCAGTTCAAGTGCATATACAATAAAGTCCGTCCAAAACCTTTGCTTAGTTTAACCTTACTGCAATCCATAAAATGCACTTGTCGCCACCGAACTATTGGAAAAAAGTGACAGCTGTCGAACAGTAAGCTGGTAATAAGAGATGGGTGATGGAGGGTATTGACCAACTACAAGATTATGCTTTAGGTGACAAATTGGAGGAAAGCAGAGGACTATTTGCCAAAGGTGGTTGTAATTTTTGGCAATATCAGCGGGATGCATAGCGTGTGACGGAGGTATGCACACAACTAAAACATTGATAAAAACAGCGTCAAAGTTTCTTTCTTATTACTAGAAAGGGATGCACACTTGTATAAGCATAAAATCCAACTTTAGTTAAAAGCTTTGCAATAAGATGCTTGTTTTTTTGTTGTACACAAATTTACCTCCTGTGCTGTAAGACTTGACCAGCAATAATTAAAGTCAAGCCCTTTTTCATAAATATGGCTTTGATTTTGTGTCTGCTGCAAAGGGTTTAACTCGTAATGCAAGATGATGGGAAAAGACCTACTGAATTAGCAAATGCAGTCTCCTTAGTCGGCTAGCCGCTGCCTCGTTGTTTGTGTGGCGGTTTTACGCACTGTTGGATCAAATCTCACTAGGATCAATGATTTGAAGGTCACGCAACACGTGGTTGTAGCGTTTGCACGCCTACTTCAGCAGGCGTCTATGTATTACATTTGGAGGAGTGTGGAATTAGGCCAACAAATTGATCTTCAATGAAAGAGGTTGGAATATGTAAGGAGACGAATGCACCTGTGGAGATGCAAATGCCAGTGGGTCGACTATTTGAGGTCATATCGCTTTTCAAAACTGACCGCCAGAACATTCTTAAGGAGAGCCCATTGAAACGACCTCCCACCGACTTTATAACCTCTCAAGACTGGAGCATCTACGTAAAGATTTGTTGTCATTTGAGACAAAATTCGGATCGGCAACAGTTTAAAGATGATTCCCAGGGAAGGAGCTGTCTAATTCGACTGGTGTCTGCCTTCAATCAACTCTACACGGAGTACTCTCTCATCTGTGATGCTGTTGAAAAAGCTCGCGACAATTCAGATCATTTTTTGAATAAAGAGAAAGCAAGTCATTCACAAAGGAATAGAGATTCGACAAAAGATGGTCGGGAAAAAGGTGACGAGGGCCACAGTTTAGATTTTCCTCCTCCCGAACAGTTGAGAGAAGTGCTTATGGATAAACCCTCCTTCCAAGAGTTTCAACCATCTAGTTTAGACATTTCAGCTGGTAGAATGGTGAAAGATGCTCCCACTGGGTGCTGTGCACCGATTCGACGAAGAGGGGGGAAGATATCATTGAACTCAGGCGATATTTTTGATTGCATCCAACGGCAGCCGCCTGAAGCCTCAATATGGGTGAAGCAGCTAAAAATTAGCGTCACTCAGACGGTACTCACTGCAAATTTCGAGGTCGATAAAGGTGGAAGAAGTAGACTAGAAGCTGTAAAGCTGCCAATAGCATTGGAACTTACCCTGCCACGCATTCAAAGGCAAGTTCAAACAATCATGACCGTTTGTCCATTCATCTATGACCCTCTTGAAGTGATTGCTGAGCTGAGGGCTACAAATTATGATACGGATGGTTGTGTGGATTATTTTGAGAAGACAAAGTGCCTTAGGGAGGTTATTCAAGAGTTTCTGCCCACAAGAACCCTTCGTCCAGCTGAACATAGACCGTTGGTAAAGACTGAGGGGTGGCCAAATGTTTCTGGTGGAGTGCTTGGCATGTCGGAGGAGGAGATAGAAGGATTTCTGCTACACAACAAACAGCGTCTCCAAACAATACGCAGACTTCAGAAGGATGCAGTTCGACGAATTCAACGATTGCATACTTTCAGCAGTGGACTCGTCTCAGTGATGGAACAAGTGCTTCTGGAGCGGGAAAGTCATCGTAAATCGATGGAGAAGGAGGGCGCGATAGAGCGTTATCGAGATCTAACGGATCAATTGAATACACTGACAGAGGAGAATACCAAATTGCGAGAGACTTTGAAGAAGGAAGAGGAAAGAAGGAAGCTCTTATTCAACATGATCCAGGAGTATTTGGGCAACATTCGGGTCTTCTGTCGTGTGAGAGCAATTCCACAGACTGGACGGATTCTGGAAGTCACAGCTTTTGATACGATAAGTCTGAACGTTAGTCCTCTGGCTGAGGAGTACAAATTTGATCGGGCTTTCGATGTTAATACGAGCCAGGCTGAGGTGTATGCTGAACTCGTGCCTCTGATATGTTCCTTCATGGACGGATTCAACGTCAGCTTCCTCACTTATGGAGGAGAATCGAGCGGAAAGACGTACACTCTGATGGGAGGCATGGATGGTTCACCGGAAAGTCAGGGTGTTGTATATCGAGCCTTGAGAACTGTGTTGCTGGAGAAGGCAACCAGGAGAGCTGAATGGGACATCTGTTTGAAAGTAGGGGTAGTTGAGATCTACAATGAGACACTGATCGACCTTATAAGCGGCGAATCAGGAGTGCATCTCCGTGTGGACGCAGGAGCCGACCGAATGTTGGACACTTTACAAACGGTGGAACTCCAGACAGAAACCCAAATAGACGAATTGCTCCAACTGTGCAACGACAAGAGAAAGATAGCTAGAACAGCACTAAACGAAGCCTCGTCAAGGTCTCATCTTATTATTCTGGTGAGAGTACGGGCCACGAGCAACATCTACCAGAAGACTATGGGTGCAGTGCTGGCCATGTGCGATCTGGCAGGATTTGAGGACATAATCAAGGCGGATACGATGGGCGATCAGGTGCTGGCAAAGGAGGCAGGTTTCATAAATCGGTCGTTAACGGCACTAAACAGGGTTTTGACGTCTCTAAAGACCCAAAGTCCCATGTCGGTATCATACAGAGATAGCAAGTTAACATATCTTCTAAAACCATTTTTCACCAACTCCGGAAAGTGCATTCTCATTGTAACAGTCAGAACAGATAAAGCAAATCTCCCGTCTACTCAGGGGACTCTGCGATTTGGAAGGGATTCTAGAGCTGTTAATCTGGGACGTGCGAGGAGACAAGTGAGCATGGAAAAATTGATACAGGATGTCGGCACAGTGTGAGGAAGATCAGAAAAGCATTCAAAGACAAAGAACTTTTTGCACGGATCTGCCAGCGCTCAATTACAATATAAATACCTTTTCACAGCTCTTCACAATTCCTTCTACTTGAGGTCATGGTTGAATGAGGTGGCTGTACTCATTCCATAATGTAGTCATCTCACCGTAACTAGGACTTGTTCATTTAATTTTTTCAACGACTAATTTATCAGACAAGCATTAAGACAGTAAATAGGTTCGCTGGTCATCAGGAGACGCCATCAAGGATGCATAATCAAGCATGAGTTCCCAATCACGGCACCATATTGGAGTCAAAACGACTTGTCAAGCAAGAATACGTGACTTTGTGTGTAGAATAGATGAGCCGAGCGAAATGGATCAATTGCGCAGACGTCCAACGGTGCAGATGCAAACTCACGTTCTTTCTGGAACGAACCCGCTAGCTCAGTTGCACCAATCCCACCAAACATCCCAATGCCGATAACAGAGGCCACCCATTATAATGCAGTTTTCTTGCAATTAATGCGATGAGAACTCGTTATTCTCAAGTGAATTTTCCTTGCTGTTTTGAAATGTCCACTTTGGTTTGCAGTGGAAAAAAAAAACTAGGAAGGCGCAACCCCAAAACCAAAAAATAAGGACATTTTTGTCTTTCACTCACATTTTTCGCCATGATTTCAAGGGAGCATAAGCTTTGAAGCTATTCTCATTCCAGAGAGCCATATAACTCCCAAATTGCCGAATGAAAAAGAAACGATAAAAGTCATCAGGAGCATGCAAAAAATTCAAGTTTAAGTGCATACAAGGGAGCTATATGTCTGGGCGACGGAAGCACTGGGGCAGGAAGTATGTGTCGAAGTTCCAATAACGGCCGGAAAGGTTCTTCCACGTTGTAGCGTTTCCCACCTCATCCTTCACCGAAATGGGCTCAAAGTCACATTGAAAGCCCAGTCTATGAATGGATAGGAGGAAAAGAAAAAATATCGAACGGTAACAGGAAGTCCCACTTGTTTTGGGCATTTACTATCGGCTCAAATTAAGGTTATCTCCTTCTTCCACGAAGAGTGTAGCACCGTATCAAGTTTTTACAGACGGTGGTGCGCTCATTCACCTACCAGCCACAGTAGAACCAATTTATGCGACACAATGTTAACATCAGCTTTGGATAACCAAGTTCGGAAAAACAGCTCAAAACAGCCATAACAACTGCATCGACAACTTGAATACCAGCTAAGTATGTTCGTATGCAAAGCCGAGTAACAAAACGGTTTCCAAAGCAAAAAAATCAAAGCAAGATACTTACAACAACGAGCGCTTTGAATACACAGAAAAAGATGCAAACTATAAACAACTGAGGACCTGAAATTGGACAGCTGAACAGGGTTACAAAAAATCCACCGTGTAAATACCGGACTCCAAGGGGCCGATGTCCCTTTAGTAAAAGGAGCCACAGTAGTTAAATTCACTAGCCCGTCTTAAACATTACTAAGGCTTAATTGTTCGTATTTTCCAAAAAGGAGCTTTAGGTGTAACACTACGCACTGGAGAAGAAAGCGTTAGATCTGTCTCCTTGCTCCCCAACAGTTAAAGCGCATTAATGTGCACAATTTGGCCTGGATATGGTTGAGCGTAACCAGCAACATCAGGGTTAGTAATCGCACGCGGATGGATTAGTAGTGACAGAGCGATGGTTCAGTGACGAGTCTTTCAAATGCCCAAGACAGCTTCACCTATAACCATGGAAGCTGCAGAAGAAGAACCATCCACAATAAAGACCTGCTCTGCATTAAAATAATGCGATAAAAAATTTCGCAAGAAAATGCCATAATTAAAACAAACAGCTAATTAAGTAAAGATATGCTAAGCTTCCATCGCGGACTAAACGAAACTGATCCCTGTGAAATGATTCAGTTACTTTAAGGGTATTAGTCAATTGCTGGTGGAATAAGCATAAGGGTGTTGCATAAATTTAGTTTACAGTGCAAAAAGCCCTTTTGTAACGAAATCAACGACTTTCATTTGATTGAAACACCTCTCGTGACGTGGATGATAGGTAGCAGAGGCTTATGCCTTCTAATATATACTTCATCGTCTTGTTGAAAAATACGAAGTAAAAGTGTTCCTACACACCTCTCCAATCGCAGTCTAGTAGTTTCACACGCCACGCCGTGGAAGAATACGCTATCCGGGCACATTCCATTGTAGTATGAATAGCGGGCACGTGGATACTGTGACATTATGCGCGGCAGACAGTGATGGAATTGAGAGAGGTCACAATCGTTCTCTGCATAGGTGTCGAAGAAAACACCATCGAAGGGTTCTAATTTACCCTCAGCAATTTCGCGTTCCAGGCGAGGCACTACCTCCTGCCAACGACCTCGACAAACACGCACACCACTACGCTTAGTCCAGCCTGTGGATTCCATCTTTTCGAGAACCTAGAACGCCAAAACGCAGAAATTACCACATAAAACAATCGACCCATCGACTGTAACAAAGATGGCACTGATATTGACTAAGTGCTAACTTCTATATTAATTTCCACATTTTGGAGATGACTTGACAGAAGTCCCAACGAAACGTACAAGCAAATGGCTAAAACTCATTACCCATGGTACTAATTTTACAGCTCTAAAAAACCAACTTCCGGAACCTAGGAGTATTCATGATGCCGGACAATGACCTAACCAACCTGCGGATGTGCTTCAATGATAGTATGTGATACAGGTGCATGACCCATAATCTCTTCATCTACAATCCCCATGCCAAACCCAACGTTAAGTGTGTGAAGACTGCGAGGTCTATTTGCACTATCCACATCGGCGAAGCATATCCATGCAGCGTGGCGAGCCATCAACGGACGCTCCCAGTCCATCATAACAGCAAGTTGAGTCGAGGTGTCCACCAAGCGATCACCAGATGGGGTGTATTCCAGACGGCTAGCCAGGTAGATAGCGTTCAAAAGACTTGGAGTTGAACTACCTTCGCCTACCGATTTTCCTGAATTGGCATTTAATGAAGTCGGCTCCATAGTAGCCTAGAAAAAACTATCTTTAAGAAGGCAGTTCCTCATCGGATGAAAAAATTCGAAAGTATGTTGTACTTATTAACCGAACACGGACAAGAGAATGTGAAAGACACCGTCTGCTTACCCCGCAAAATCATATTATCCATTTCAATTATAGGTCAAAATTTACAGTTACAACATTAAAAGTGGGGATTTTTAAAACTAATAATTGCATCCCTCCAACAAATTTAGCAACGTATAGCCTCTAGCCGATTTACAAAACAGGACCATATATGGTTAAAATAGCTACCGTAACAGCCGCCTACAGGGAGGTTGGACGGGACAACAGCACTGTCCTCAGACTCTGCAATGGAAAGAATCATTTCAGACATAACCGCGTGGTCCATGATCATATCCACAATGCTCTGGTGCCCATTCATGGCGGCGTAGTCACCAGCACAACGGTACCGTTTGTCTACCGCGTTCCATGGAGCTCCTTCAGTGAGAAGATAGCGAACGACCTCAAAATGTCCTGCACCTGCAGCCGCCATAAGAACGCTCATTCCAGTTTGTGGGTCCTGAAAACGTAATGAGCGTTAAAAAAGAAGTAACAGTGATCGTTGGCGGGTGAGTAAACCAAATGACTTGGAAACAAATATCCCCGTTGCAAGATTCATGAAGAGATTTGATTTCTTCTAGGTCTCCTGCAGCAGCAGCAATGACTAGACGAATGTCTTCTTGAGTTGGTTCGCAGTTCGCTTCATCATCATCCTCATCTCCACGTTTGCGCTTAAGATTACCTTGGCTTTCCTCTTTCGCATTAAGTTGGTTAGACTGAGGCGTATCCATATGATGTGGGCTAGAGGATAAAATGCATACAAACAACATATGTTGTAATGTAATGTTGTCCGTTTATATGAGTACAAAGGCCTGACTTCTCAATGTTTCAAACCATGCAAACCCACATATAAGTCACGAGGTCCCACTCACATGCGAAAACCAAGGCAACAACAGTGACCTTGAAGCGAGCAGGCACATAAAAGACAAGAGAATTGACTAATTGGACATTCTTTGTTGAAATTGTGACGAATATAATTGTGTTAAATTCGGTCTCATAGTGGAGAGACGAAAAAGCAAATCGAACTCGAATCCTGCTTGTGTGGAGCGGGTAGAAAACCCCTCAGTGTGACGTCGGATTTGCGTCTCATCAATTCTCATCCACTCTCTCCTTTCACTTGTATATGACGCCTAATAACCCGTCCTCATCCAACTCTCTCATGAAGTCTGAGAGTAGGCAGTCAGATCCTACAATAATTTCATAGGCAAGCTTTGTTTGCGAAATACGTCAGGTTCATTATGTTAGAACCTCAGACCTCACACAGATACTTAAATTTATTCACCACTCCTACTGCCTCTAAATGGGCATACGATTCGCCCGATGAAGACGTGTATTTTTAATCCTTTTGTTGCCTTTGTGACCGCAAAAACTCTTATGGGCCGATCGCTGTTATGAGCCGTAACACTGTTTACACGGCCATGTGATGCCTAGCAGCAATTTTAGCGTTCGTCTGGTCCTTGCACGCATAGGGCGGATTTCGGACCAAGTTAGGATCCTACTTGCAGGAACTGCCTGCCTGCCCTCATGCCCTTGAACCATAGACTTCAAGAGAGTATTAGTTGCAGAGCCGATATCACCCATAGAGGGATTCCTCACAGTCCTTACGCACGGGACCCCTGTTCCAATTCGTTTCCCGCCTCTCTCCTAGTATATACTACACTATCTACAGCAAGTTTGACTTTGCCTCCCTAAGACTCCCAGAAGACTATCCCCGGAAGAGTTTGGGTAGACACCACTTGATTTGCAGTAAGTGTGTGAGAGTCAAGATCCACTTTTTGAGAGAAGACA